CAAGAGAGATTGCAAAACAAGCTGATGAAGACTTGCTGCCTCTCCTTATGAATGCATGTCCTATGACCTTCTCCACTGTTAGATACTTTGAGGTAAGGAGTGTCTTTTTTCTGTATTAAATTTGCTTAAATGTTATGGCCTTTGTATTAATACTTGTTTATTTTATTGTTATGATGGTAATTGTTTTTTTGTTAAACACATAATACTTCTATTTTAACATTCTCTTATCAGACACTCAAGACAACATCAATCGGTCGCTTGGTGATTTACTGTGATGTAATGACCACCAGCATGAAGGTAACGGCTGGACACCCCCCACTTATTCATGGCATCACTGTGGTACCAACACAGCAGACACAGGGCAAAGGTATGTAATCAACAGTAATAACACATTCCAATTCTTGTAATTTTTTTGAATGATTTATATGTTAAACATGTGTTCTTTGTGCATCTAACATATTTGTAATGGACTTCATATCACATCAGGTCGAAGTGGGAATGCATGGCTGTCACCACTAGGATGTGCTATGTTTACCACACAGCTTCACATCCCCCTCTCATCAAACTTGGGACAACATCTCCCATTCCTACAGCATCTTGTTGCCATTGCAATAGTGCAAGCTGTGCGAGAGTACCCAGGATATGGTGACATACCTCTGAACCTGAAGTGGCCAAATGATATTTATATTGCTGGTGACACTAAAGTAGGAGGTGTTATTGTGGAAGCCACCACAATTGGAAAGGAAGTTATTGCTAATGTTGGTATGTATGCCTCTGTCATTTTTCTGCCAATCATTACAAGATAGGTAATTGGTGCAATTGAAAGGATTCCCTTAAAGAAATTTCTCTAAACCTTTGGCTGTGGGTACATGTACTGTCTTTTGTTAATTTTGTTGTACACAGATGGTTCCACAAGTGCTTAACCACCAAGAAACCAAGGAGTCAATCAGTAAGCCCTATGTGAGCTCACCTAATTTCCCCATTGCTTGAATATTTTGGATTCATTAAAAAAAAGTAATACTATTAACCCAATGGCTCTGTTGGAAATGACCATCATGGCATGGTTGAGCACCAAGTGACTGGAACATGCCATCATGAAAAATTTGGTTGAGGGTCGTAGTGATAGAAGTGTTCACTCCTGAAAAATTTGGGTGAAGGACCAGGGGAATTGGAATGACTTGTTATGAGTGCAGAAAGGACGGTTAGACTCAGTAGGCATATAGGAAGGGGCTCTTGCATGATTTCCACTAGTAAACAAGGGTGTACTATCTGTGAACCATGGCTCTAGGATGGACGCTATTTCTAGTGCTCGGAATCCTATTCCATCCACCTTGACCAGCAGTACAAGGTGTCTTACAGAAATTGCATATTATAAAAGTACAAAAAAAAAATTACACAAATAATTATTATTTATTGCTATTGTTACTCCACTAATAATTTGATCAAGGAAAACAATCTATTACTATCTTGATATAGCATTATATATATGTGTGTGTGTGTGTGTGTGTGTCTGTCTGTCTGTCTGTCTGTCTGTCTGTATGTCGGTCTGTCGGTCTGTGTCTGTCTAAAAAGTGACTTGCATTACACTTCATTAGTGTAATACCTACCTCATAAAAGCTTTTTTCAAGGCACTTTCCCAGCACATGTGAGTGAAGGTATCGGTAACATATAACTACTCAGTATCTTCAAATTCACATTTTCCTTTTGTTTACTTTTATAGGGTGTGGTATCAACTTGTCAAACAGTAATCCCACGTACTGTATCAACGATGCTGTCCGTCAACACAACAAGGAGCACAAGACCTCGCTTCCTGAGATTGATCGAGAGACATTCCTGGCGAGAATATTTAATCACTTTGAGGGCCTTATAGACACTTTCCAAAAAGATGGGCCAGAGGCAGTCTGTCCCATTTATTACAAGTATTGGTTGCATAGGTAAGAACTTGACCTGAGATGTTATAATCATCACAAATGCATTTTATAGTTTCTCTGTTTTTTCTTTTTCTTTTTTTCTTACTTTCTTTCTTTTTCTTACTTTCTTTCTTTCTCTCTCTCTCTCCTGTTGCCTTAATTCTGAACCTCAGCAGTGTCCTATATATATGTGTCTAATTTTATATACACTTTTAAATGTATGTGTATATCTGTTTATCTCTGTAATATTCATTTAATCTATTTTGAGTCTAGTGTCCATATATTTACAAAAATTACTAAATTTTCCTTTCAGCAATGCAGTAGTAACAGTCCAGAATGAAAATCGAAGCACGGAAAATGCTGTCATTACTGGAGTGGATAACTATGGTTTCTTAATAGCACACTTGGTTGATGGAACAATGATCACTCTCCAGCCGGATGGAAATTCCTTTGACATGATGGAAGGGCTTATCTATTCCAAACTCCAGTAACAGAAGATGTAATATAAATATTTTAGTGATGGTTGATTTTGCAAGATTTGGTGGTTGTTTCTTTAGTGTTAGGAGGAAGCTTAAAGCATAAATGGTTGGCTGAGATTTGGTGTTGATTTTTTGAATGATTGACTGATATGAAGTTGTTGCAAAGTGTTGAGAAATTGCAGTTACCTAACTAGAGTCTTTTATTATATGTATATATCGGAAGCTAATTCTATCTGTTATTTGTTATAAAGTTGAATGATATCTTCTTTTTCTAATGTTACCAAGCATTATTATTTTTTACTTCAGAGATTTATGAGATTGGCAAAAGGGAACTTGGAAGCAAAAATATGTGAGGACAAGAAGTGCATTTTAAAGTACTTGAGCATGAGTAATGAAATTTAGATGTGAGCACCTGCATCTGTAATTAACATTGTTAAAAATGTACAGGTGGATGCAACAAAATTTTGTTTTGAGTAAGAACCAGTGTTATAATGCCAGAACCTGCGATTGCATCATAGGTTAAAATTGTGAAATCCTTTATAAAAAGGAGAAATAGGCAATGTAGGTATTGTGTGTTCAGAAATAATGTCAATTGACTTTGCAGAGGTAGAGGGCAGAAAAGTAATTATGGTAATATATCCTAAATGTCTGTGCCTGTAAGCATATCAAATCAAATGGAGCCACAGAATTCTATTTTATCATCTGCATTGCTGAACTGGTAACAGATATCTTGCAATTAAACTACCTTATTCCAATACCCAATTAGATTTTATCTCTAAATTTCTCTAATTTTCTACTTTCAAGTTGGCTTCCAAAATGTGAAACAAGAAGCCCAGATGATTCCTATGGACATTTTGAAATCTTCAAGATATATTTTGACATCTTTGGTATTGCCACATCCTCTACTGAAGGCTGGACACAAAACAACTCATCCTTTATTGTATGAAATTTTGAATTGGATGTTAAAGTACTGTGATAAATTTTGATACCAGATGAGCACAGTAAATGAAAAGAAAGTAATTTAAATGTGTTAAGGAGCTGTGGATAAGCTCATTGTAGGGTTGTAAATGTTGAAGAAAGTTTTTGTACAGAACTGTTTCCAGCATTGAAAGAAAAATAAAACAACTTTGGTACTTTGTTAAACCTACTTCTTTGTGTGTATAAGCCTTAGGTTCTTCTCAGTCTCTGAGACCTGCGTAACTTTGGCCGAGCTTTAAAACAAGTGGAAAACTTGATCATGTAAATATTTTGGGTGATAAATGGAAGATGGCAAAGTGAGGAGCCTTTGGTCACAAAAAGACAAAATTTGCTCTGTCGAGTGTTTGTCTGTTGCTGTTAACAGTGGCTTGTAGAAGTCTTGTCAGGCACAGCTGACATTTGCTCGTAGTATGTAGTTGGTCACTTCTGGCTGTTGCAGTTCAGTGACAACCATCTTGTTTAACCCACATGTCCACTCACTGTATCTGTGTTGGTTGAGCCTTTTATGCTAAAATCCCTCTTTGCTATTAATGGCCAGTAAGACTTTTTCTGGTTTAAAAGTTATGCTTCCATTTATATCAAAAGGGAACGTCGATGGATGTTTATCACCCAGAGCGTGATATTTTGTAGTTCCTAGTTAGGAAATGAAGAATATAACTGAATAACATAAAAACAGTTGATTATGTTGTGACAGAGGATTAGCAAATTTGTATGAATAAAAAAAAAAAAAAAAAAAAGGTGAATTGCCATTGTTAAAGGATTCACATACTATTCCAAATTCACAGAAGAAAAAAGTCTAAAGGTTAAAGAAAAAAAAAAGTACGATTGCCTTAAATTTAATTCCTCATCCAGTAATGAATTGGAAAGATGATGCATCATAAATGGGGAAAAAAAATCATTCAAAAGGAAGAATCAGTTGAAGTAATGGGTCATATTTAAGACCAGGCTTAAAAACTGCATATCCATTTTATGATCTTCAGCCAAAATATATCTTGCCGTTGCTGGTTCATTGGCGAGTTGATGTTGATGTAAGATTTGTATATTTTCTTGGGAATATTTTTTTTCTTCTTTTTTTTTTAAGGATAGGCTCTATTGTAATACCTGGTCTAGATGTTTCCATCAATTGTAATGAAATTTGTTGTTTCCATGGCACCAGGGATTCCTATATATTTCTTGATCTCAGAACTGAAATGCTCATTATAAAATAAATTAATTAAATGGAGCATCTTTGGATTGTTAGTATTTTCTTGTACTGTTTGTATAAGAAAACAAAAGATATCTTGTATATTCCAGTGCCAGGAAACATGAACTAATCATAAATGAAATATTCTCAGTGTTCATGTATTGTATCAATAGATAGTAAATGCTAAATATTTGGCTATGTAATAAAGTATATTTCTGGCAAAGTGCAATATAGGAAAGATAGATGGCTCTGTGGACTTCATATTACCATTGCCAGATCAGAGCTGTGGGATGCTAGCGAGCTTGCTCATATTAATTTCCTTGTAATTTCACGAACATCTTTTTAACATGTTTACATTTGGTATCAAGGCAAGTTACAGGGTTGTTTGTATATTGTGAGAAGTGATGAGCTTTGATAAGGTGAGGGTGAGAGCCAGAAGCTCCTCAAGAGATATGTTGTGCCATTATTTATCATTCTTATTATTGTTTAACTCCTTTTTGCAATGGATCCCCTTCAGATCTTATACTTCGTACATACCGTGATATGATTCTCTGTTGTCATTGTTGAATTGTTTAAGAAATGGATATATTTTCATATAGATTATGTATCTCTTGAAAGGAGAGCATTTGAGTTCTAAAACTTATGTGCTCTGTTAAAAGAAGAAGAAGAAGAAGAAAATAAATTTATCTAGTCATATATGTAACATGTGTTGTATATTCCAACAAGGTGAAGGTAGGTTTGTCACAAGTAATGCATAGTGTGAGGCTTGATTATCTTCATGTAATTGTTGATGCAATAATCACTAATTTCTTGTTTTAATGTGTGGGTAAAGCTACTGAGCATGTAAAGTTTTCAATGTCAGTTTAAGAAGACTGATGATAAATAGATTTTCCTTTCTTTCTTTCTTTCTTTTTTCAATAGTTATTCCAGGGTTTTTACTTGTAAAGTAGGTTTAATATTAGTTATTTTATGAAGTATAAATAAATATATATAACAACAAGGTCATGTACTAAGAAACCTACATAGATTTTTGTGCCTGCCATGACTGTTAGGAAAAGTAGTTTCTTTATTTCAGTCTTGCTCTTTTTTTCTTTTTCTTTCTTTCTATTTCTTATTTGTAATATTGCCTACCACTGGGGAGGAGGATGTCCCACTCATGACGGTGCATGTAGAACTGTGATTATCGCCAAAGACACATTTTTATTTTTATAATAATCCTGTTAAAGGAATTGTATGGGTATTTCTTGCCTTAACAGATTTGCTGACATGCTTTATGTTTTGTACCATTCACAGAAGCATACTCCATTGAAAACTAATATATAATATATTATTTTTAAATACATAAAAACTTATCATTACACTTTAATGGAATAAAGCCTAGCATGTGAACAATTCTTCATGTACAAACATCAAAGAGCAAATCAGGAAGGGCCTTTTTTGATCGTCATCATCATCGTGTGTGGCACACGTTCCCTAGGGATTGCATCTCAAAAAGAAAAGAAAAAAAAATGTATATACTGTTGACTAGTATTAAGTGGTATAGAGGCAATAAGGCACAAGCATGTACTGTGCATACTGAACAGGTTTATTGAAAATGACAGCAAAAAATAAAACAAAGTAGACTTTAATGCAGGTATGAATGTTTGCCGCATGAAAGCTCTCAACTGATTATCCTATGTTTGAAACAGTTTTGTGCTTGTGTACCAGTGTCTTGTACGAAGTACTCTGTGAATATATTCCATTAATGAACATTAATATCACATGTTATTTTGTATTATTTCCCTCTTTGGCAAAACCACTTTTTTATGGCTTTGCTGTACTTTGCAGATGACAGTTTTCACTTTTTTTTCTTAGCAATATTTGTAATTATCTTAAACACCATTTTAAAGTCTGAAATTAATTTTGTAGTACTGTTTTAGTTACTTCTCTACACTTCCTTGTCTGGATATAATGGTAATCTCACAACTTTTTATGTTGGCAACACAATAATGCTTTACCTGGATCAGAAATAGTTTGAGGTAACCTTCCATTTCAACTAAACTTTCCATTAGTCAGTACAGGAATGTTCCTTTACAGGGTTGCATGAAAAATAATACATTAATTTTAATAGAGGTTTTATGAACACATTTGCATGATATCAGAAAACTTACTTGATATGGCAGTTCTAACTTCCATTTTACTTCATGAGTCCAGTTAATTTTATTATTTAAATACACTGTGCATGAAAGCAAAGTAATTACAGCTGATTGCCTCCATAAGATCTGACTGGAATTGATATGCTAAACATCAAAGGTCATCTAGCACTATTGTAAAGTATTGTGGTGAAAAGGGTAAAAATTAGTTAACGATTAGAATAAAATGTGTTAGATTTCAAAAGTTGTAGAGCGCAGTAGGATAGTACGGTACTGAAAAGGGTGAAGTGGGGAGAGCAAAAGGAGTTTTGCAGGAATTTGTAAAAGGGGAGGGGGTTTAAGGTATAAAGCAATCAGATCAAATGTAGAGTATCTGTGTTTGAAGAAGGGAGAAAATTGTATGAAACAATCAACAATCAGTATGGGTAGAAATGGTAGTTGGAGTTGCAGGATAAGAATCCGGAGAACGAGGTAAGGGAGAGGGGATAATAAGAAGAGGGGATAGATGTCTGAGGAGCAGAGGATGAGGTGGGTGCAGGAGAGGATGTGGTAGGAGAAGATTGGGTGGAATGTCTAGATTGCCTGGTGCGGCAGGTAGAGTGAAAAGGAGGAGGAGTAGGTATAGGGAAAGTGGTAGAGGTTGGAGTATCTGGATTTAGACTGGAAAAGGAATTTGACTGGGTGAGAGAGAGAGAGAGTAATGGTAGTAGAAGCCAAGGGGAAGAGATGCTGAGACATCTTGAGAAGATGGGAGGGGAGTGGAGTGAAGGACAGTTTTGGAATAGGTAGAAAGAGAAAAGCCTTGGCATGCTTCCTGT